AGTTTCGCACTGACTCCAAACACAGTGACTACTATTTTATATATAGGTTTCTGTGGTGGTTGTCATGCCACGCATGTGCGTCTCACATGAACAAAGATGTTCCAGCATGCATTGACTTGGTCAAGATTCTCGGCATATGCCAAGAGCTGTAATGTAAACACCACTATTGTAGTATACACCATCCAAATAAAAACTTGCGTTTGTGCTTGCCACGAGGGGGGGGGGCATTGGATTTTAAGGAAATCAATGTTTATCAACACATGCTTGCACAACAATTGCAAACACTGTTGAGTTGAAACATATATATAAGGCAGAATTTGATACGCTGAAAAAAAACCTGTCACTCTAAGATTGGTCTTTCTGTTAGGGTTGGGTAGCCAATCAGGTACAATGTTACAAATAGTTTCGCACCGACTCCAAACACAGTTACTACAATTTTATATATAGGTTTCTGTGGTGGTTGTCATGCCAGGCATGTGCGTCTCACATGAACAAAGATGGCGATTTTGACTGTTGCACAGACCAAACAAATTGTACAAATTGGTACGTTACTAAGCTTTAACTACGGTAGGCAATTTCTTTGATGATTGGAAGGCATCAAAGGAATCAACAACAGTAATTAGTGCATGTTGAGCCTTGATCAAAATTTTTGCTCATTGAATTGTGGGAAAATCAATGTTTATCAAAACAAATGTCGCACATGTGCGGCGTGACAACCACCCCCTTCAAATATGCACAATCTAGTTACTACATGTCTTGAACTACTTAGAATGGGCTTTTCAAGTTACTTGATACATAATCTAACATGTCGTGCACTCCGCAATGAACTCTTTGGGCTAGGGGAAAAAATGAAAAATGATTCTTTCAATGATTCTTGTCATGCAAAAACCCAACAAGAAGCTACAACATGTTTTTAACTGATTCCATGGTGATCAGAAACATGAATATTTTTTTTCTCCATAATGTATTTTACACAAACTTTTTGTCTTAATGGCGCAAAGACCAACACATAGGTATGGGAAAGGTGTATAGTGACTCATTGTACATGCTGTTCAGTGACCATTGCAGTCGTGACTAAAAAAGCACATACTACGGTATTATTACCACAAAGTATACACAAAAACAGTATGGTAATTGAAATTACTGATGCTTAGTGAATCAAGCTTGTGTTTAAATGTGACATCATAACCCTTGAACACATCAATGTTGTGTCAATGCATGTGTTGTGCAAGTTTGAGTGAGAATAGTTCAACAACATCGTTTAACAAAATTTCAAGTAAAAATCTTTCATATCTAATACAAATTTATTCATTTTTTTACCCTTTAAAATAACATTTTCAATATACTGACTAAATTCAAACATACAATTGTATAATATTACAAAGATAAACCATTAACCACAAAGTCAACTTTACATCAACAAAATATTTACAGAGTATTTACATATTTTAATATGTATTGAATACATTATCATAATTATTTTCCACTGGATAGCTGTGATTGGCCAGGTGAAGTGAAATGTCCTAACCTTTAACACAGATTGACCAATTGGTCACAAATCCCAAGGCATTTCACCCAGCAAGATAACATATCCAGCATGACATACACATTTGACCCTAGCAACATAGGTCACGACCTTTGACCCAAGTAAACAGAGGTCACATCCTTTGACCCTAGTATACAGAGGTCACGGCCTTCGACTCTAGATACAGAGGTCACAACATTTTACCCTGATTAGAGGTCACAATCATTGACCCTAGTTCAACAAGGCATTACATTTGATCCACCCATTCAGAAGAGTTCAGCTTAGAGCTCACACCTTTGACCCAAGAAGTCAGAGGTCATACACTATGACCTGACAGTCCCGCTTAGAGCTAACACCTTTGACCGTAGAGGTCATAGACTTTGACCTGACAGTTCAACTTAGAGCACACACTTTTGACCCTAGATGTCAGAGGTCATACACTGACAGTTCAGTAGACAGTTAATTCTTCATAAAACATTTATGCAGAATAGTTAATTAAATCACAACAAATATTTTTGTTCTCCATTCACAAAATATATAAAGTTTAGTTTTGAGTATGTCAAGCATTTGCTTATTTAACAATATAGTAGTACAAAAAATTAAATGTAAATATGCAAATCTAACACAAAAGGCAATGTTTTATTCAGAGTCAGACGAAATTGTATATGTGAATTTAAAAAAAATAGAATTACATTTGTATTTTCTAACCCCTACTTTATTTTAATGTTTTGAGCACATTCACTGTGAATTTGTCAAGAAAACAATGAATTTTATTGTTATTTTACATGATCACGTCGATTTAATTAGCGGAATTTACTGATTATGAAAATAGCAAAAATAAAACCCAGTGAATAATCAATGCATTCACAGTATTTTACCAATATTTGAAGTTCATTTAAATTACGTACAATAAAGGAAAACAATGTAGCATTTCAGAAGATCACAGAAAACAAGTAAATTGTCACATTCATGAATCAATAGACTTTACATGCAGATGGCTGCTGAGATTTTGTTAAACACACAAGATCTCAACAACCATTTGCATCTCAAGTCTACTTACTGCAAACAGATAATAAGTTATGCAATGACAAGAATTCATTTTTGTGAATATCACAAAGTGTGAAAATAAGAGTATTAGCAAAATTAAAGCATCTTACAGTATCATCTCTAAATTGTAACAAACTTCGTTACGCCAAACATAATTCCAGAGTACAAATAAAGCATGAATAAAAATTGGGAATACTGAAGAATATTATTTTTATAATTATTTTAAAAATAACCAATGAGACTGAAGTCAATTTAGAGGCTTCAAATTAAGGTAAGTTCCAGGCATCCAGCGGTATTCGGCTACCCACTGCAACAAGAACGACAAACATCAGAAACAGTTTGAAACTCTGAATGCAGACAATTGATACAGCCACTGATCGTGCCAAGTAGAAAAAACAAAATAATTCAACAGTTGTAAAATGAATTTAATTTGACCTTGTCACATATGGGCAACATTCTTGCCCTTGATCGTTCTGGGGGAAATATATTTACGTCCACCAAAACTGTGGAATCAGATGCACAATATTAAGTTTAGAGATAACAGTAATTTTAATTTGACATTCAGTTGATCATGAACATTTTTGCCCTCTAAACTCACTGTCTTAAAGGCCCAGGTATACTATAAATACACTCCTAAACAATAGGGATTATTTCCTTGCTTGTCACGCTGTAATAAACAGCTCCAGCCAAGCTCTGGTAAAAACGCGTTTTTCTCCAACTTAGAGGTCGATTATGTCGTGCCAAAGTGGATGCATGTGACTATGAATATCACAGCAGTGACTGTGTGTAGTATTTATGACAATAAATAGTGTACGAGCTGAGATTTTGGCGGATAAAAGTAAAAAACATGAATCGGGGAAAGGAACGCGCGGCTAATCTTGAATAATTACTACTGTCAATCAAAGTCACGTGATGTTGGACCGCTGAAACAGCATGCGTCATAGACTATGCAAGTGATTAACACCACTCATTAGCATAGCCCGGGGCAAGTGTGAATTGGGCCTTTAATAATGAAATATTCACTGCTACCGGTACTATAGACATTGTGACTCACTGTCTTAAAGATCTCAATGAAATGTCCACTGCTACAAAAGTCACTGTGACTCACTGTCTTAAAGATCCCAATGAAATGTTTACTGCTACAAAAGTCACTGTGACTCACTGTCTTAAAGATCTCAATGAAATGTCCACTGCTACAAAAGTCACAGTGACTCATTGTCTTAAAGATGCCGATAAAATGTCCACTGCTGCAAAAATTACTGTGACTCATTGTCTTAAAGATCCAAATGAAATATTCACTGCTACTATACTCATTGTGACTCACTGTCTTAAAGATCCCAATGAAATATTCACTGCTACTATACTCATTGTGACTCACTGTCTTAAAGATCCCAATGAAATGTTCACAGCCACAAAAGTCACAGTGACTCATTGTCTTAAAGATCCCAATGAAATGTTCACAGCCACAAAAGTCACAGTGACTCATTGTCTTAAAGATCCCAATGAAATGTTCACAGCCACAAAAGTTACAGTGACTCATTGTCTTAAAGATCCCAATGAAATATTCACTGCTACTATACTCATTGTGACTCACTGTCTTAAAGATCCCAATGAAATGTTCACAGCCACAAAAGTCACAGTGACTCATTGTCTTAAAGATCCCAATGAAATGTTCACAGCCACAAAAGTCACAGTGACTCATTGTCTTAAAGATCCCAATGAAATGTTCACAGCCACAAAAGTCACAGTGACTCATTGTCTTAAAGATCCCAATGAAATGTTCACAGCCACAAAAGTTACAGTGACTCATTGTCTTAAAGATCCCAATGAAATATTCACTGCTACTATACTCATTGTGACTCACTGTCTTAAAGATCCCAATGAAATGTTCACAGCCACAAAAGTCACTGTTACTCACTGTCTTAAAAATCTCAATGAAATGTTCACAGCCACAAAAGTCACAGTGACTCACTGTCTTAAAAATCCCAATGAAATGTTCACAGCCACAAAAGTCACTGTTACTCACTGTCTTAAAAATCTCAATGAAATGTTCACTGTGACTGTGACTTTTAAAGATCCTAAATGAAACATTCACTGCTAGAAAATTTTCCTTTCCCAACTTGTGAATGATTGTCGGTTTACAGTTCGTCAATTTCATATTATTATAATAAGTTAAAATAAAATTTTGGTGAAATAATTTTTGTTGCAAATACAACAAATGAATAGCAATCAAGGTTTCCATCAAAAATAAATCAAATCTAATATAAAGCAACCTACAGTATTCTTAACCAGTGGCTTGAATGAAGAGAGGATTACAAGCCCCTGGTTTAACTACAAATTGCTGGTACATGTATATTATATTGCTCAGGGTGTGTATATTAATATTCTTATACAACATAAAATACACCAGATAGTGGCAGCATAAGCGACTGCCTTTCAATTTATTAGTGACCAAAATACCAAAAGTTTAAATTGCTCTTCTATTTCTGCAATCACAGTACAACAGTATAAGGTGTTAAACACTAGGTTAGGTCAACAGAAATAATAAAATAATACTATTATTAGTAAAAGTTTTTGTTTCTTACAAGTGATTTCATCACTGTAGAGGATGATTTCGTCACTGTTGAGGCATCATACCATGTACACTGAAAAATGGGACAATCCCTGCATCTTTTCTTTGAATAAATTGCTCTTTCCATTGTAATGAAAACGCAACAGATTTTGTAGATTAGTCACCTCTGTGTTATCATAATATGGCCGGTATTGTTTATGCTAAATTCACAGAAATGGTTGATAGAAAATTTAGATATTTAGGATGTACAATAACAGCCAAAGAGTTCATAACTAAGCCAGTAACTTTGTTGAATCTCATTATGTGATATACACACCATGGGTGCAGTGTTACAATGCAACCTCCGTCAACCCAATTCTGTTGGTATTATTTGATTCTTGTAAATTATTTGCATTTTCGGTGGCTCCCAATTTGATCTGTAGTCTTAGTTCAGTTCGTTTTGCTTCAGGACAGTCTTGCACGTAAATGACTCTATTGTAGGCCTTCAGCCTTCGCCACAGCTGGACATAAACTTTACACTGTACATACATGAACACCAGCCCACCTGTGAAACCAATGGCGACCACCACAAGCTTTGTCCAGAATGGCCATTCCAACGCACCCTGGCGAATTTCTTCTGTTGTGCGATCAATTAAAACATAAAGAGACCAAACGACGCATGTGATAGCGATCATGTGAAATGAAACAGAACACATTATCTTTCGTCGTTCGCTTGATGACATTTCTAACTGCTCCCACTGAAAGAAAAAATGATAAAAAAAAGGACATTACTAAATATGCACTTACATGAACATGCTTGTTTCATGGCCGGTAAAGAGTTTTGGGTTACAACATTTGATGAACAAAAAGGGATTGTATGTTACCATATTATCTCTAATAAAAAATAACTGCATTTTACGCATGATCAAAAATAAGACCACACACAACTCTTGATATTAACATAACCAATGACAATGTGATTCCCACAATTCTATTTGAGTATTGCAACACTTTACAAGTCACAGTCTCAGTGCATGTATGTATAATGCCATTAAAGACTGTTGAAAACAGCATAACTGAAATCCATAAGCGATATTTAATCAGCTGACCAACAAGCGTGCGGATACATGATATTATTATACATCTGTTACAGTATGCCATAATTTTCCAGTATTGCACTGGGTATTTTCATCCAACTATATTAGAAAACGTGAATTCCAAATATGGAACGATTATGCGCGTAAGCATCCATTAATAAAAAAACAAACATGGCTGCCCCCAGGGTTTCACTAGACCCCACACAAAGAAGTTCGCTAAATCTGTTCTAAACGATTTGGGTTTCAGCATTCCCATGATGTATTCCTGGGAGGAAAAGATGGAATGAGAAACATCACTATTTCCTTGTTTACATATGGAAGAGTACACAAAACTACTTCAATAATCAGACAACAAACACAGCATTGCAAACAAGCAATTGTATTGGCTAATATCAGATGATAATAATGAGGCTTGGCTCGAGAAACAAGATGAGGTACAAGTTACAGTGCATGATGTTAAAATGATTACTAAATTAGGTGCACTCTTATTGCTACATCACCAAAAGAATGTCAGTAAAATACGTACCTTTGCAATAGGTTTCAGCTTGGACTCCATGAAAAGTTCAAATTTACAGAGTTCACAAGTTTTAGTATCTGAACTTTTAATCCAATGCTGAAGGCATTGCTGGTGGACGTACTTTAGACTACCAGCACACAGGCATGGAGTTATAAGAGGAAATTCATTGTCCCCCTCACAATGGCATATTCGACAAATATCGGCGTTACTTGACACAACAGACACTGCTGACTGACACCGTGATTGTGGATTGGATGTGCAGGCTTTACACTCTGTATTTTTATCTGCGTTTGTTACATATTCGATGCTGTCTGTAGACATTCTTTGAATGGCTGCGATTGATTTACTCTTAACTGAAAGAAACTTAGGATCTCTGGCGACTGACGCGATGGCGGGAGCTGTGCCAGGACGAATCGCAATTGTATCATCAACCTATAAAAATAAAATAAAATTGAATTTTTAAAAATTGCATGCAGACATATTGTTGAGATATTGTCTTGTGAAAAATTATGTGGGTTCAAATTTATGACAAATTTCCAATCCAATGGGAGTCGTACATTTTGGTTTACATGGCAAATTGTCATCTAGAATACAGTAAAATCCATCAAAAACATAATTTTTATTGATGGACACAGACAGATCAAAACGATATTGCCGACTTAAACATTCTTTCTGTATCCCATTTACATCATAGAGTGATTCAACACTACAGGGAAACGATACATTAGAAGAAAATTTAACAACAACAACATCAGCGACAACATATTTCATATCCCACAACACAAAGCAATGTTTGCCAGTATAATTAGAAAAGTTAACAATGACATCCTATATAGCGATGTTTGCCAAGAGAATTAAAAGAAGGGTTTAATATGATACCAGACCCCCCCCCCCCCCCCGGAACAAAGCAAGTTCATGCAATTGCAGAGAAAGCAATGACCAATTTGAAGTTGCTGTTGTACATGTATGATGGTTAATTGTACATGTACCAGTATATTATGACTGACACTCATACTATGTACAATGTATGACAACGGTAAACCCACTAAAGCCTGTTAATTTGAGCGTTCTTGTGCATTTATGTTGAATGAGATGTACATACCAAATTTGAATGAAATATGTCTGAGACTGATCGAGTTCTGGTTCCAAAATGGTAGAAATGACCAATTTTGATGAATTTTTTGCACTAAAATGACCGCCATTGAGCCATCTTGAATTCAACCATGAAACAAATGATAGCGCATATGTAAAACTTGATGTAATATGTATGTGTAAAGTTTGAGAGTAATTGGCATAGTCATGATTGCGATACAGGTTGCAGGACACACGACAGGACGCATGAAGTTGAAACTACAGGTTTAGAACATACTAGTGATGACACACTCAATGCATTTGAGTCAGAAGACAGTGCAATATACTGTACCCATTAAGTCTGACACAAATAGAGAAATCTACATAGATATACCAGGAAAAATAATACGACTTGAGATGAATGCACAAATACATGTATACTCTTTCTCAAAGTACACTAATAACATTAATGGTAACTACCGGTAAACTAAAACTAGCTGTCAGTAAGGAGATCTGGCACAAAGCTATTTATTGATTTAAAGTCAACCTGTCTTAATAATGCCATGATATTCATTTTATAAAAAACAATAATCAATTCATAATGAAAAGTGCACACAATTCCTTAATGATTTACTGCAACCTATACATCTGTAGAGAGGGGATATAAAATGGTTGCTATAGCTACCATAACATCACTGCTGTCCTTTCGAATGCATGCAGAATACACAAGTATAGATTAAAGAGAAACATAAAAAGTAATTTTAATGAAATCTGTTTTCTGGTTTAGATACCTGATGGACTAGGAGCAAAAATAATAAAGTAGCTTATTAATTAATCATGGGCGTGGCTAACTTGTTAAATTTAAGAGTACTATAAATTTAAATAAATGACATAGCAAACAAAAATTAGTGGCCCTTGAATTTTTCCATAAAACATGATTTTGTGATTATCACATAGTGTTCAGCCAGCAAGACAATTTTCTCTTAACAAAGGGGGCTTTCTCTTGATTAATTAGCAGTTATAAATAGAAAGCAAAGATAAGACTTCTCTGGGGAAATTTAACATATTTGGTAGGTGATAATAACAAAGGATAAGCAAGGTGATTAGCCCTCCTCAACATGCTAATTTGTGTCAGTTTCTAGCACTTTTTTTACTGCTAGTGTGTGAAAAGGTGAATTACATGAGGGCATGTGATTAATTCCAGTTAGTAAGAACAAATTGCAAAATTTTGCAGCAGTTAAAACTATTCAGAAGGGAAATCAGAAGGACTTGAATACCGTCAAAGTTGCAAATCACAATCAACGGCAGTTGTCACAATACTACAGTCTGGCTAAATAAGCAATCAATTCCAACTGATCGTACTACGACAATTCACTTCCACATTGCCTTACCATAAAAAAGTCTTCGGGAAATTTCAAAGAGTTGAATCGGTACAACACAGCATTCTGATTGGTTAATAATAGACTTGACCCATTAGGTAAAAAGATGTTGCAGGTTAAACCGTGCAAAAAAAACATGGCCGAAAGCGCAGTTTATGAAAAGTTTGTGTACATGTACGATCCAACACAATCGACAATGGAGATAATGATGAAGATTTTAACTTTGAATGTGTTTCATCTGACTCTAATATTTTTAAGCACACAAATTTGGGTGGTACATATATACCTAATTAATAATGTAATAAAATATGCATACATTGTATTTTGTAAAAGTCAATGATGATGCAATTAATTCCGTAATTTAATTTTCCCTCAAAGATGCAATATCCCCCTCAATCTGTCACATGGTGAATTAAAATTGTCATATGCACTCTTTTTCCCGGGGGGTGGGGGGTGGGGGGGGGGTGGTGGTTAGGTTGCTTGCTCGGTTAAGCGCACACCCCTAAAAACTCATTACCAGAAATCATGTTTTGTTTTTAGTTTTCATAGTAACCACGGTCTGATTCCTTCCTGTTGTGTATGTTAAGTAAATCTCAGGATATAAAATAGCTGATGTGATGTGTACGAACAGCGTTTGTGAAATGAAGTACCAGTACACAGGAAATGAAACTCACTGGTGTTCCTGAAGCACGATTTGCAAACTACTGTTAAGCTCCAGCAATCAATCAACATTAATTAAGCAAGATTTATGCAAATTAAACAGTTAAAGTAAGACAATGGCAATGTTTTTTATAATTTAAACCTAGTTTATTAGGTGTTCTACTCACAATAGAATTGTGAAATTTTCACTTAAGAACAAGATGTTTTCTGCTATATAAAAAGTTACAAAAAGTGAAATTTTTCCCTGCAACGCCACCTTAAGGAAATAGCAATATAGAAGTATTTTTCAGATTTCTACTCAAACCATGACTACTAATGGAAAAAAATAAAATTAAAAACCATTTTTAAACATTTCCTTATTTCCTGTATATTTCTCCAATATCATTTCAATAGCTTTCGTAAGGTACATGTATTAATAATATGAGAAGCCCCCTCAATATTTTAGTGTAATAAATGCCACGACTTATTCATTGTTAGAAAAGGTATACAGCAGGAAGATACATCCTGTTGAGGGAAAAATAGGCTTTCTCATTACGAAAATAATGTCAACATACTAAATATTGGATACCACATCTTGTTTTTGGTCAATTTTAAATTGGACTAGCAACTTTGCAAATGGGAAGCAATAGAAATCATGGATTTTGACAGAAAATTGGAAATTGAAATTCTTTTACTGTAATGTATACTTTATATCAATCAATGTTTTCTTTGTGCTTAATATACATTTCTGTGGATGATGAATAATTCATGGTTTGAAAAGACTCGACCATTGGTGGTGAAAGTGATGCAATTTATTGTAGCCAACTTTAAATGAGATGGTATTGGTGACTGGTGATACATGTAAGTTTATATATACATGTAGATGGACGACGACTAAAGCACAATAAATTTAAATCCTGCATTCAAAACAAATTACGTAGTACATCACTGTAGAGGAGACTTAATTTGTTACATCATTTTTTTGTTTTGTTTTAATTTTGCTAATAGCAAAATGTGCTCACAAAAACAGCAAATATGTTAATTTAACTATCGCACAATTTATTTCCATCACATGTAGGTGAATTTAAAACCTAGTGAATAACCCTGCAACATTAAGTATGCTAATATTAAACACAGTAAAAATTTTTTCTACCTATACATGTATACATGTATTATTATCAAAGATTGGGGTCAATTAAAACAAAGCTGAATAATGTATTCACAGGTTTCAGCCGAAGCCACAAAATCTAATAATTAATAGTACCAAAAAGTAATTTATATTGAGGTTACCTTTAGCATTGGTAATAACTCATCTACTATAAAAGCAGAGAAATACAATAGAAATAGAAATTAATCCATTAAATTGATTTCTTGCAGATCGGCAACTGTCGCCATGGCACTGAACGAATTATAATGTGATCAATGTTATACACATATATACGTTGTTTGCCCCATTGAATGTTCAGATTCAGATGCACTAAATTACATATACATGTAGTATACTTAAAGGGGAGCAGAGGTCTGGCTTTTGTCACTCTGTACATGAAATTCAAGATCAATGAAGTTGATAAAAACAACTTGTATGTGCTGCGAAATGCCCTAAATATTGGGTATAAAACGGGCTGTGAAGTAGACGACAAACGTTCGAATAAGTGATATGTATCCATCCTAGGTGAAAGTTACTGGGTTATCATTGTTAGATCACATGTACACCTCTCAATACCAATTTCCAAATTTAAACTACCCTGGTATGCATAACTGATTACCAAATGATGGCCATAAGAAAATATTACACAAATTATTTCACATCTGTTATGTGAGCAGTTCCATGGTTGCTGAGCAACTGGTCATGATAGTGTTTTTTTTTATATGCAAGGGAAAGGTATTTCCAGTCATAATACTAGTATTCATTTTTATATCATGTTATTACAAGCTTCAGAATCTTTTCAAACACACTGATAATCATTCATTGGTTTGAAAGATGGGAAAATTGTGAAGTGTCGGTTTAGAGAATTGCTGAAAACCATAAATTTTAGACAGTGTATTGGCAATTGGTGATCTGTAGTCCTACAGACCTAATTCATTATGATACTAGTACATGTAGTTTACAGCCATTTCTAGAATTGTTGTCCACAAATAGCAACAAAATGATGAAATCCACCACATTTGGACACAGCCCTAAATCAGTGACCTTCTGACCTGCTTATGACCTGTATTTTGCATATTATTATATAGAATTGGTAGAGGGTATTCACAACACACAATTTGTGTGATGAATTAACATGATAGAATCATTCTTTACAAAGTTATACCCAATTTATTTTCCCCTACTACTCCCACCCA